TATTTTTTAATCAAATAGAAATATTTGATTGCTTTTTGTTGAGGGAGTCCTTCTGAACTTCTGGGCCTTTCACTGCACCACTCTATTGCAGACCTGAACCACCTTCATGAATCATTTTCTTAAGAAGGTGAAATGGGAATGTGAAGGATTTTTTTTACCTGGTCTCACTCAGTAATATTTTAAAAAGAGCAGGTGTTTTTCATTCTTACTAGTGTACATGTGTGCTTTCTGTAGGGGCCCAATTACAGCAGATGTTGTCCATTAATCAATGTCTCCTAAATAAACAGATTGAATTAACTTAATTAAGGCTTAGCGCTCTTTCTCAGCTTATCTTAATCCTTTCTATTGCAGGAGGTCGGCCTTGGACCGGCAGAGGAAGAAAACGTCTGAGTCTCTTGATAAGTGCAACCAGCGCTCATGTCTTAATCATCAGAAAAAAAGGACATTTTGGCCTTGAAGAGGAGTTTAATCCTCTTGACTGGATCTGACATTTTTGAAACATGGACTAAAACAGTACAGAGGTACAATACTAAAGCACAGATTATTAAGTGGCTGCAGTTATTTTCCAGGTCTACTGAAGTGCAGAGAAGACGACATAAAGGACGTCACACGGCGTTGATAGACGTGACCTGCACCTTCACGGTACAGCGGCCCGCTGAGGACAAGCTAACAAAAGAGACAGCACAATACGACAAGCATACGGCCAGCGGAGTCATCCAAACAAGCAGGTTAAACCTAAACATAAACTAAGGAAAAAATATAAACATTGTCTGGATCTGCACATGGTTCAAAAGTGATATTCCACACCATCCGCCTGGATTAAAACACGACTCCAAGGACAAATAAGTGACGTGTGGACTTTCCTTTGAGCAAACAAAGCAAGTGAAGGAATGTTCTTTTGATAACTATGAAATGTTTGCATTAATTTAATCAATACTACTGACTCGTACAGTACCTGCATTTACTCTTGGGTTATCATTGTTCATTTCATGGTGTCATTATATCTCATGCATTGAAGCCACCCCCATACACTTGAAGAGAGACTGCTGTTTTAAATGTATCCCCTTGTTGTGCTTGGGAGTTGAACCGTACATGTAAACATCAAAATCCTAACACTTCTTAGCACTTAAAAAATACACAGATGATGTTCCTTTGTGGCAACATGTGTACATAGTAAGTTAACATGATTACAATCAGAGAATTGATGGCGATTTTTGACAAAAGTATTGTAATTACTGTATTTATATGTAAAAAGAAAAAGGTCAAAAAAAGTCTCTTCTCTTTCCCCCTCTGAATTCCTCACGACGACACTCAACAAGGCACAGGTTCACTCTAGGTTCAACACATGGAAAGAGTAATAGCACATCACCAATTTCATTTGGTATAAGAAACTCCAGTTTGTGACACATTCATTATTTCAAATCAGCCACACCGTAGACTCACAAATGCTGGCCTAATTGCCATGTTAGCTTTCATATAAAGTGTCATTTTCTGACATTGCGTGGGGGGGAAAGTGTGTCCCTTCAGAGAGCTAATATTGCCCCTTGTCTATGCACGCTCATATGTCCACGAGCCACTGGTTAACAAAGGTCCCTGTGTGCAAGTGTATCAAAGAGAAGGATGAAAAAGCATCAAAGCCAGCAAATGTGGTTATTAGTAGGCTTGTCAGTCCCTCTTCTCAAAAAAAAAAAAAAGACTTTACGGCTGTGTGGTGACAGAATTCCCCAAATATATAAATGTAGGCATCTGCTAAATAAAGCAGCTAATTATTTGAACATAAATGATAATGCATGGCCCAAAATGTGTTGTTTTAAAAAGAAAACTTTGGCTTCCACTCGTAAAATGACAGAATAATCTCAATTGACAGCAGGCTAAAGAAAAGCACAACACAAATAACTCTTATGTTTGCTAATGATTTGGTAGCAATGTTGACATGCCATCTTCATTATTTTGAATCGATGTGTAATGGATTATTTAAGTTACAGTATCCATCTGTTGTGCATTAACTGGATCGTATGGGAGCTCCTCTAGCGCTAAACGTCAGCAGCGATGACGCTGTACAGCTGAACACTGTAACAAAGTTATTCTACACCTCGTATAATAGAATCTCTCCTCTACTTGATAAATCATCTGTCTAGTGCAATACACAGTGGTTCTTATCTTACATTGCCCGGCAGAAGTAGCTGGAGATAATTCAAACACTGAGCCTCTGTACGGTTGCCAGATAATCTCTGTGCACCCTTCCCTTCAGCACACACAACCCAAAATACACAGAATGGAAACTTACAAAGACATTACGGCCTCTCGGGCTCATCAGCCGGGGAAATCATGCTATTACATATTTCACTTGGAGTAAGATAAGATACACACATTCAGACAATGGCTGCATTGTATCTCTCATCAGACTGGCTGTTTTCATACACTGCATGATATTAAACTGCACAGGGGTCGGCCATGCGGATCACAGACTATCTCTGAGTTGTTCTCTTCAATTTGCCTACTATTATTTATTAAAAACTCAAATGTTATATATTTATTTATGTATTTATTTGAAGTGTGGAAGTGCAATTGAATCAGTGTTTGCCCTAAAATCTGCATTTTCCAACTGCTCTCGTGAAAAAGCATGCGCACTTAAGGTATAGTGTACACGTGGATTATCATACAGATCATAAAGGGTTACCAACACCATCTTCTTTAGAGCATTGCTGCTGATATAAGTTCTACTTGAGGTCATTATCAGCTTTTTACTCCAAATGAATGAATTTGTCTGAAATGTATCTAGCGATGAAACCGTTTTAGAGTCCAACATCACCATGGAGAGGATTTCATTTGAGCTCTTCAGGTATAAAATGAAATTCAATATGTTGTTTTTCATTTACCTTTTGAAGTAAACTAATAGCATTGCTGCTGATCTAAGTTCTACTTGAGAGGTTGATTTGGCTTTAAATGGAAATGAATGAATCGATCTAAAAAAAAAAATGTATCGGCGCTGAAACACCACAGTGTAAAATGCTTAATTTGAGTGTTACAGGTTTCAAATGAAATTCACTATGTTGTCAGTCTTTTACTTAACAAAATTCTCTGCTCTCATCTTCCAAAATGCCGACAAACGTCATATGGCGTTCGGTTAGAACAAATATTTTGTGATGCTACCCGGTGATGTTTTCTGAAGCGATTCAAAAGGGCTTGACCTCAAAAGTGATGTTATAACTTTATCCGACATCTGATATGATTTTCTTTCAACAGGTGACTTATCAAGCAATATCTTAAAGCTCACAAAGAATTAGTCTACAAGAACCAACCTACCTATACATGGACTTTAGCGGTGCAGGTTATTCAATATTTAATGTCAGTTAATGAGAATTACCCTCCGAGGGGCTTCTTTAAGGCACAATACACTTTACACACAAGTCCTCTCTTTTCCTCATCTCCACTGTCATCCCCCTGACTCATGTGATTCACATTTTATGCATGTGACTCTTAAGGTTGTTTATTTGCCACAGCAATTCTGTCTCAGAGAAAGATGTTAGATGAATCAAGAGAAATAAACAACTGAGAAGAACCTCACCTGTGCGAGTGTTGTGTCTTAACACTGAATGTTTTTACACTGTGTGTTGTACTATGTGCGTTTTAAACATCTAAACCACATTAATCTTTTCTTGATGTTTCCTTAAAGTGGACCTATCATGCTATTTGTAGGCAATAGCATAGGTCTCAGATATATAAAAATATATAAAAAACATGTCTATTAAGTGTTTTGCTCAAAATACCAAACAGATCACCCATTCTAGCCATGCCTCATATCCCTCTATTTCACTTCCTGTTTCAAAAGTGCTGATTTGAGGTATAAAAAAATAAAAAATTGATAAAAGAAAAAGGAGGGGGCTGAGCTCATGCGGGAGATTCTACCGGCAGATACTGCGGTGATGAAACGCCATATCATGGATTATCATGGATTATTTCTGAAACAGTATGGAGCTCAAAGGCTTTCTCTCTTGCCGGTTATACCACAAGGTGAGTTCCTTTTTATTCCCTGCTTCTTCACACACATGCTCTCCAGTACAGGTTAGCTCTGAGTGTTAGCGATGCTAATGTAAACATGCACCGACCATATTTCCGATATTACGTCATATCGGACTCAAATCTGGATCAGCTCCGTTGTAGCCCCGTTTTTAGAGGTTTGGGTATGGAGGAAAAGAGAGGGTTTTATTTTCTGACGCTGCGTGAGTTCCCTGACACACCGGGGACACATATTTATGTATAAAAGACATCAAAAAGTGCATTTTGCATGATAGGTCCCCTTTAAGTTTGTGTTAAATCCTTCCGTCCTAAATTAGGCTGCACAATTAACACACAGTAATTATTTTAGCTAAGATTGTAATATTTAAATCAACAACAAAAAATTGATGTTCTAAAGCATGCGCTGATCCATTGTCAATGTCCGCATTCATCGTTTAATTTACATTTGCATACATAGAGAAATATACATGTATCATTTAAAAGTATTTTTTACATTATTAGAGAAAAACTAATTATGCTAACCTTACCTTATTTGTGTAAAGTTTAGCAATGTAATATCAGTGGATGGGAAATATGGCTACTACCATTAAGTTGTTGGGGAAATGTTTAAGTAAAAGCCTAGGACACATGGTGGTTAGCATATTTACTTTAAATCTCAAGAACAAACTGTCTCAGCGTCCTTAAAAGTTAACAAGAGTTGGCACAAATGCGACTCATGCACCTCACATTTTTCCAGGCGATAAAAGACTGAAATGTTGAAGCACAGTGTCACTGTGGCATCAATCTTTAAAGGGAAGAATTGTGATGGTAGGTCTGTTGGCAACGCACGCACATAGAGATGACTTTTGAAAAAACACTTCAAACACAGCTTGTGATCTTGACTCCTCTGCAGGAGCATATCATAAGAGAGGACAGAAGCAACTCGTTTTATATCACAGGCGGTCGGTGTGCAGTTCAAATAAAAGAGTTCAAAAGCATCCTTGGCTTCTGATACAGAGGTCGAACTGCATTTATTCACCATTATTACACAGCCTGGAATTTATAAATTAAGTGTGTTGGAGGAGGAGATTTTCACTGTTATCAACAACAGTCTCCAAAAATAAAGTATTTCAATGAACGTTAATGACATTGGAGAAATAATAATACCGTGATAGAAATAATTATACATCCCTTGGCATAAATACAGTCATTAAATGAAAACTGTTGGGTGTTTCTCAACAAATCAGGTTGTTTTTTACAATATAAACAGATTCAAAAGTGCAAGGCTTCATTGACAACAAGTTATAAAATCAACACGGTTTTGGCAAGTATTATAAGTTATTAACTTACAAAACAAACAATTAATATGCTCTTCTTAAAGCCATAAGTATCCTTTGACAGAAACCATAATTGTACCTGATCATCACACACACATTTTAAACTTGACTGACACAAAATAAAATTCAAGTTGTTGCAATTATCACCAACTCTGGTTCAGTCTAAATAAACCCTTCATTCTCCAAGTGAAATGTAATAAGAAACAGCCATTATGCTCTCTTCAAAGCCACCAGACTCCAATTGCTGCAATTACTTGCTGATCGTTATATAATATACTTCCTTCGAACACGACAAAAACAAAGTAGAACTAATCAAAACCACCCTTGATTTTTTTTTCTTCCAATATTACCAACTCCTCTGTTATGTTTAAATTAACTTCTTAACTCACCAAGTGTGCAGGTCTAATATGAGTTAAGATTAAACAACTGGAATACCCATTTCTCGCATTAAATTAAAAAAGGTGATTTATCCTCTTTTACTCCAAAACAGGGGACAGGAAATGCATTGTGTGTGTAGGCTTGTGGGTCTTTTAGGAGCGTGGAGGATATGCACATGTATCTTTTTAGAATCATGTGAAGAAAATATTCAGTCCATGGTTCAATATGAAGGATCCTCTCATTTGTAAAAAGCACTTTGAGAAACTCCCGAAGTCTGGATCACTGCATTGTTGAATTCTTCCGATGGGAAACCAAAAGTCATCCTCACTGCTCCGTGTCACTTTTCAGATCTGCTGGTCGCGACACGCCATCAGTGCCTGAGCAGACGAAGCTCGCTGTAATTGCCTGAGCCGTTGCCTCGGTTTCCCAGCTACTCTCCCAGCATCCTCCTCTCCTCATCCACACTGCCCTCTCACCTTCTGTCCTCACTGGACATCAACTGACATGCCATAGTCCGGGCTGCTGGAGAACTGAATCCTGCCATCTGTTTCCTGCTCTTCAAACACAGTGACCTGTAAGGAAGAAAGAAAAATACTGGCTGAGTGAAGGTCATGAACAGACAGGGAGAGTGGGTGGATGAACACCAATCTCATTATATGCACGGAAAAGAAGAGTTGTGAAAGACAAGAAGGAGAAACACAATAGAATTAGTGGAAAGTGCTTTAGAGTTCAACAACATCAAAGCTATGGGTGATGAATATCTATGACTTTATACTATAATGGCGGATGCTTGAGTCGAGGTCAACCAAGATCTGTATCATACTTACAAAACATGTTCATCTGATATGTTTGTGCATTTTTTGAGAATACCAAAGCCTGTGTATATTCGCATTAATTGTGCACCATTTCAAATAGGTAGGACATGTGCGTTAGTCAAGTCCCTTGTGCCACCTGTAGGTAATAAATGCCATTCAATTTGGGGGAATTTGCTTATTTTAAAAAACAAAAGTACACAGAGAACGAAAAATAGATTTTTTTGTATTGACCAGTCGTTTAATAAGCCACTTATTTGAAACATGCTTAATCATTTGAGTCTGTTATCAGACCGCATATGCAAAACCATTGCTAGATCAAGTTGCTCCAGTGTGATTTTATGATGTTTTCATTCATAACTGTAATTAAAAAAAACGTGGATCTGTAATATTGGTCAAACTAAACAAGTGATGGGCATTTGCACTTCTTTTTTTTACAGTTTGTAGGCAAAACAAGTGACATATTTATTGTGAAATGTTTGTTTATTATTTAACGTCTCCTTGAGGAATATGGCAACAGTCTTTCATGGTGATCCAAACATGTTATGTGCCGACTTTGGCCAAAATTGAATGAGTTTGGTTACACATCTCAGGTCAGGAGATTAAATGTGACCATGCTCTAGCAAAATAGACAACCCAAAATGATTGCTTTACTGTCCACTATACATCACTATAATCAATTTATTTCACATATCCTGTTAAATAACAAAGATACTGAAGGCATTCTCTGTGACCCTCAGTGTTCCTGTTCAATGCTGTAAGTCGCTAACAATGTTGAGATCAGGTCATTAATGCTAAAACGTCTTAAAGTGATTTTGATAATAGTGTTTCCTGAATGATAAGCACATAAGACAAAAGGTACAGTACCTGGTTGTTCCCCCTGTGGAGCCAGGGCCCCGGGACATAGAGAGTCTGCTGAGGACCGATGGACCAGTAGCGTCCCAGATTCCTGCCGTTAATAAACACTACACCTTTGCCCCAGCCCTGTGAACACAACCAGTGACCGTCACCATGACAACAGGCAGCTTCGGCCAATGAAATGCTGATGGGGGGGGGAAATAAACATGTAGAGGAGAACCAGAAACCAATTTCACACCTTCCTTTCTAGATCATTTGCATTATTTGCTCAATATATCCTGAGTTCATTGTATTTCTTTGCTTCGCTTCTCCAGCCTTTTCACTTGAATTTACAGCAGTGGAAAAACTGTGGGAAAGTTTCCATCTAAAAATAACCAGAGGGATACGCAGTTTAACAGAGGGATAAAGAGGCACTTATTCAATCAATAACTGCATTATGTAGAGCTGCATGCAAATTAGACCATTACAAATAACCTCATTTTCCCTAAAGAGCCTTTTAAGATCTTTCTTCACTAATGAAATTATATCATTGTGTCATATGCAATGAATTATAAGTGATCAATGCCATGATAAAGCTTCTGATTGCATTACTCTCTAGGGACAAACAATTAGTATGTCTAATTATAAAGATGCCTGTAAATTAAAATTACCAAACCACTAGCTGACAGTGTTAAGGATAAGATATATTATATGACTACATTCACACTACTTCTGAATATTTGGTGTCAACATTTCTATCAGTACTACAAAGGACAGATTCCCATATATAAGGGATGTAAATAGACTTTTTAGAAAACTCAATAGCAGAAAAGCGGCTGGCCCTGACAATGTCTCCCCCTCCACCCTGAAGCTCTGTGCTGATCAGCTGTCTCCTGTGTTTACTGACATCTTCAACACCTCCCTGGAGACATGCCACGTCCCAGCATGCTTCAAAACCTCCACCATCATCCCGGTTCCCAAGAAAACAAGGATCACAGGATTAACGACACCACCCTCATCGGACTCATCTCTGGTGGGGAGGAGTCTGCCTACAGGTGGGAGATGGACCATCTGGTGACCTGGTGTGGGGAAAACCACCTGGAGCTCAACGCCCTGAAGACAGTGGAGATGGTTGTGGACTTCAGGAAGAACGCAGCCCCACCCGCCCCCATCACTTTGTGTGACTCCCCAGTAGGGTTGCAAAATTCCGGGAATTTTCAAAGATGGAAACTTTCCACGGGAATTTATGGGAATAAACTGGGAATTTTCTAAATTGAAGGTTGGCTCTTCATAGGGAACTTAAATATAGTTGGGGAAAGTATATTTTAGCATAATCTTGACTAAAACAAACAGATGCCATTCAAGTACACTTGAATATCCATGCCATAGCACACTGCTTACTGCATGGCTATTGAGACCACACAAAGGTTCGCAGCAGGCTCACAAATGTGAGAGTGGAAAAACTGGTTGGCATTCGGGCAAACCTAAGGCTCTTTGAGCCTGACACAGAGCCATCCTCAACAAGGCTGGACAGTGACACTGAAGAGGAAGACTCAGAGTTGGATGTTGATGAGGCCCAGGAAGAGCCCATTGACTGAAAGGGTTTAGCAAAAATGCAGAGGATCGCTTGAAGGAAGATTTGCATGTTTAATGGGACTTTTTGGAGGGAGAAGGGCTCTTTTCATTTAACATTTTAAATGGGACTTTGTGGGGATTTTTGGATGGGGGGTGCATTTTTGTTCATTTTTTAATGAGTAGGGTTGGGGGGGATGAGTAACATTTAACTCAACATTACTGTTTTCGTTCTTCAATGAAACAAATAATTGTTCAATAAAATAATTCAAACTTGTTCTGTTCTACTTAAAAAAAATATCTAAAAAAAAAAATCTGTTGAAATGTCATGTTTTTTTGTTTAATTTTGGATCGAATATTTCCAAAATTCCCCAGCTTAACTTCCCATGGAAACTTTCCGGAAACTTTCCGCCCCTTTGCAACCCTACTCCCCAGTAACTGCTGTGGAGTCTTTCTGCTTCCTGGGCACCATCATCGCCCAGGACCTCAAATGTCAAAAAAGCACAGCAGAGGATGTTCTTCCTGAGGCAGCTGAAGAAATTCAACCTGCCAAAGACGATGATGGTGAACTTCTACACCTCCATCATCGAGTCCATCCTCACCTCCTCCATCACCATCTGGTACGCTGCAGCCAAGGATAAGGGCAGGCTGCAGCGTGTCATCCGCTCTGCAGAGAAGGTGATCGGCTGCCATCCTTCCACGACCTGCACGCCTCCAGAACCCTGAGGCGGGCAGGGAAGATAGAGGCCGACCCCTCCCACCCTGGACACAAACTGTTCACCCCCCTCCCCTCTGGCAGGAGGCTGCGCTCCATCAGGACCAAAACCTCTCGCCACCTGAACAGTTTCTTCCCCTCCGCTACCGGCCTCTTAAACAAGGCCCGGCCCCCCCCACTGAAACTTTACCTCAGCCACAACGTAGGCTCTATGCATTACATTAATGCACACAATGTTCATACTGCTTACTGCACATATTTCTTGTTTCATATTTCATATTTTATATCCTATAATTCATTCATAGCATTCTATTTCCATGTAAATTACTGCTTTATTTCATTGTTATTTAAGTATATTTTATTACGGTGTCCTTAAAGATTTTTTGTTTTATATTACATTTCTTGTTTTATATTTTATGTCTGCACCATGACATCAAGTCAAATTCCTTGTATGTGTGAACCTACCTGGCAATAAACCTGTTTCTGATTCTGATTCTGATATGTATTATATATGTTGTGAAACTTACAGGACAAAAACGGTCTAAATATCAGCGCAGCACTACTAAGATTATTTAGCAATATCTCAAGTAGTACAAACAAACCTAAATAAATGTGTACTATACTATAAGGCATTTTTAATATGTGAAATGTCAAGTATAAACAGATTGATTTATGTTCAATATACCAGAAGTAAAACTGACATTCATATCTTAATGTTCATTGTGAATTAGAGGTTGGGTATGATAACCCAAACTTCGGTCTATACATTGTAATTATATCCATACAGCCCCATGCTATTTCGTTTTAGGTTATATATATTTTGTGTTCAGCTTTTATCCTGAGTAATCCTAATGTCAGTTTATGTAGTGGTATTGTTGCTGTATTGATTATAGGCCCCATGGTTGTCACATTGTACTCACAGGGAGTTTGATGAAGGTGTCTTTAGGAGAACTGTTCACGTAGAGTTTTGCCTGGAAAAACCCCGGGAAGGAGGGCCGCTGCCGACGCAAAGAAATCCAATGGCCAGTACCCTGAAGTCTGTAAAAGCAGAATACATTCATCACGTCATTTGTATTTATACACCTACGGTAAATGTCAAGTAAAACTTTGGAAATGGATGTCAGGGGAAATATTCAGAATCACAATCTTTGCGAGCTATAGGTTATATTTTGCCTCTGAGTAAATCCAAAAGGTCTCCATGATAGAAGAAGAATTCCTTCCACATTTAGGGATTTTTTCAGTGTTCACTCATACAGGGCTTCAGGCATTGACATTTTCAGGGTGGAAGGATTGAAATGTTCTCAGTGCATGAGGAGGAACCAAAACGCATTTGAAAATAAATCATATGATCATAGTCTCCTAAGTATATACTGTATATAAACCTTGAAATAAACTAGGTAAACTCATCCAAGCCCATATTCTTTAAGGAGGTTACATTGGTCATTTGGTTTGTTAGTTTATTCAACATAAGAATTCAGAATTTCCCAAAGATATTGTGATTGAGGCCCCGGCTCCACGAGAACAAATACGGCAAAACGCATCGGAGTAACGCAAATGCAACCGCAAAAAACCTTCCGTCCCCACGCAATATACACCGGATTGTGTCAAGCTCCACGAGACGGCTCCGTTTACATCCAACCGCTGGAAAAGCTGCAGTACATATGCCGAACCTGTACGTGGCGCTGTAACTTCCTCCACAAAAGCAGCAACTTCCTCCACAAAAGCAGCGAAGAAGAATGGTTGTCATGGCTGCACTTGTTTTTTCTTCGCGGTGGGGGCGGAGGGAACCGCGCAGAGTTTTTCGCCGGTCAATGTGTGTTAAAGTTTAAATCTTCATGCTTCCTCATGCAGCAGCTGATCCAGTAAGTAAACCCGACAGTAAAAATAAACATATTTATAACTAGTTTAGGTAGTTTGAGAGGTAATTAAAATAGCTAAGGGTGGTGATCTGACTTGAAGTGTGTGTTTTGCTGCCGCTGTTTCACAGCCGGAGGAGCTGCGTGTCTCCGTCCTGTCAGATTAGACTTCACTCGCGTTTATGTTCATATCGAGATAAAGATAAATAATCTGAATCTGGTGGGGAGAGGCGGGGAGAGGCGGGGCTATGAAAACGAATGACCGTATAGGCGACCCCACGGCCCCGTTGGACCCCCCAGAGCGCTCCGTTCCCAGATCTATCCACCTTTGGACCCGTTGTCGTTTGCGGGGTCTGTTTCTACGTTTCCCTTACGGCGTCGTCGAGCTTAGAGGGCTATACGCATGAGAAATATGCGGATTCAACCCGTATTTGTCCTCGTGGAGCCGGGGCCTAAGAAGGGCTTTGGCCGATGGTCGACTTCAATCTGGTGTTGATGACGCTAATGTTGCATGTGATTAGCAATAAAGGGAGGCAACCGTCTAATATGGAAACGCCATGAGGGAAATGCATTGTGGGTGCAATGAGCCCTGCCAAAATGACCCTATAATGATTGGCTGTTGTGCAGAAACGACCTGACCTAATGACAATTATGGGATGGGTGCCACATTAAAGTTCCCCCACTCAGACCGTTTCACTTTCTGTCATTGCACAGCAGTTTTGTTATTGTGCTTGTTAAATGGTGCATGTTGCATTTATCAAGTGAAATCATTTTATATACAGTATATATAGCACATCAAAACAAAAGGAGTTGAAGTACTTCTTAAGTCAAGGCAGAAGGTTAGGATTGGACTCAAAACAGGTATACATACTTTAATTAAATACATTATTCCAGTGAAAAGCAATATTACATAATGCAATACAATGAGACAATGAAAGGAACAGAGTGTGTGCACTGTCGAGGTTTCAATGAACAGTTGTATTAACATGCAGTCTTTGTGTTGACAAAATAATCTTGTCAGTTCTTAATATATTCTCATATTTAATAACTATCCTGTTAAAAGTGTATCCAGTCCTCCCATTATTATTTGTTGTTGCAGCATTTATTTGAGTAATACTGTAATGAGTTTTGCTTCAATTAAGCTGTCAGACACATGCTGCTGACGGAAATTCAATTTGCAATGTTTTTGTACCTCATGCTTTCAAAGTGTTTTTATTTTTGTATCACCCTGGAGTTTTAGGATATATTGTTTGGATTCTGCTAGTGTGTTTAATAAACCCCCTGTGTTTTTAACTAATTAAGATTTGATGTATTCTCAAGCACTGAAAACAGTCCAGATCCAGGGTATTCTACCTCGTGTACTTATTTTATAATTCACATGAGACTCTGGTTTGAACAGATGTGTTTTGATGTATTATCTTTGTCATCATGTTCCCACTGTAACCGTGTTAAACAGGGAGATCATTTGCTGATTTGACAGAAAGAAATGGGGAAATAATTGAAAGAAACAAACCTGTTTACAAAGCCAGGCTTCATATCCAGACTATGGATAACAAAGTCACGGAGGGGGTTCTTGTTCAACTCGATATCTCCAACAAGACCTGAAAGGAGAGTCAAAACAGGTGAATCCGTCTTTCTTCACTCTTAATTAGTTTTCTTTCAAGGTTACTGATAAAGAGATCATTTGGCCAGATTTGTGCCGTTTATGCATCAACTTTTACCTTTGCGCTGCTCATCCAGGGTTTTCCCATAATTCACTCTTCCACAGTTCTCCACGAGTAAACTTAGAGTTCTTTTTCCCTTAAGTGGAAAACATAAAACAAATACTGAAATACAGAGGTATTCAAAAAATAAAGGAAGCAAAAATGTCTTTCAGCTCTGGCTTTAGTTATTGATGAAGTCCAATCTGAGTCAGCACTCTTTCTGTAAGGTTGAAGTTGACAAATCAAGTTTGTCAGGATAAACAGTCTGCTGTTTGCCTATCCCGAGGACCTTGCTGTCAGAAAACATCTATCAGCAACCCCTGAAGCTTTCACATGCTGTTAAATATGAACAACTTTATGCTTTTAGGAAATACACACACACACACACATAAAGTACCTTTCCGTAAGGGACTGCAAGTTCTTGCGTCTTATAATCCAGAACACCAACAAAATGTTTGTCCACATAAACCTAGGAAGAAAAAAGGGAAATAGTTTTCATGTTTAAATATGCCATGTTAAACCTCCTGGTCAAAGTGTATGACCTGTATATTAACACATGCACACATGCACACGCGCACACGCACACGCACACACACACACACACACACACACACACACACACACACACACACACACACACACACACACACACACACACACACACACACACACACACACACACACACACACACACACACACACACACACACACACACACACACACACACACACACACACACACATCTTTTCAATGTTTAATCTTTTTAGATAGTTTTTCTACTTTTTTATTGATTTTTTGTATTATATTCTTTCATGTTTTCCTTTTATATATTGACTCTGTAGATACAGCTAAATGGAAATTAAAATGTAGAAATCTGTTGACTAAAATGTGAATCTGTTTGGATAATGAAACTGAAACTGAAATACGTTTAAAAAAAAGATATACGATATTAGACGACATGTGTCTGTCACAGACATTTCTGGACACCAATTTCTAAGAACTCCAGGCTCCTGTTTGACTTCAACACCAGAGCAACTGGTATCAGCCTGCGCTTGTTAATTGTTCTCAACAAGTACACAGATCAGAGGTGTGATTTCCAACAGCCTTCTACATGCAAAAGTTCTCACAAAAGAGAAGTGTAATTGTGTGATTTGGGTGCATAACGTGGACGTCTGTCTTCCTGTCTTTACCAGGGCTCTGTCTCTGATGTTGTTCTTGGAGTTGAGGGTCCCTTCGCTGGTGATGGTGGTCTCGTACAGCGTGTAGCCGTAAGACTGGCCGTTGTTGTTGTTGACAGGGAGGTTCTCCATGCTCACCGGCCTCTCTGACTTAAAGGCCTACAAATAAAGACAATGTTTGATACCTTTAAACCAGATGTTGACACCAACAGGAACAAAAACATATATTCTCTCCTCTTTCAGTCTCTTTCCCCTTCCTGTGTTTCTAAATCAACGCTAAATACTTTTCTCTTTGTCGCTGCTTCCATCTATGAAATACAGTATCTCTTCATATCTTATATTAATTTGTATCTTACATCTGTATCTTTCTTATCGTATTCTATAACTTATTATTTTAAGCTTGTTTTATATGTATCCGCTTGGAGTTTCAATGATTGACAGATTGAGTATTTAAATATAATCATGTGAGGTATTTCTGTTGCACTTTACCCTAAAGCTTGTTATGTTTTTTAAAAGAATTGTATCATATTGAAATGTTCTATATAAAAAAACCTGCCTTCCTCTTTCTATAATTATCTTTTTTTATTATTACATTATTATGTATAAGTATAGGTTTGTTATAAATCCTTTTTGTGCTGCAAACACTATTGGATCCACTGTGATAAATAATAATAAAAGCAATGAAAAAGATGCTGAAATGTGCCACATTCATAAAGATGTTTATTTGAAATATTTCCATGAAGTTTGCTGTAATTAAAGTGAGCACACACAATCTCATAAACCGCTCTCGACGCAGATGGGGTCTTATGATTCGCGCCACACAATTCTCCCACTTGCAAGATGGCTTTGCCCAAAGTGATGATTTATCAAACCCTAATGAAGCTTTCCTGTCTGCCGTTCAAAGCCATTCTTTTATTCAGCAGCATTCTTTTGCATACCCTAGGGAGCTGCATTATGCAAGACAATAAACACTCGCCGCTATGAACCGATTAACCACGTACCTCCGAACACACAGACTCACCATCAGGCTCAAGACATCCCACTCAGTCTCTCTGAAGCCTCTTAAGAGAAATCGCTCTTCTTAAAACGAGGGTGTGTCAGGGGCAGAGAAACTGTCGTCTCATAGGGAAGCACATTATTGTGATGGGGAGTGAATAATTAATGTTGAATGCCAGACGTGGCACATCTAGTTTGACTATAAATGCCCTTGAACAGCATGTGAACTCGACTATTGGACATGAAAGCGAACAGACATGATGACACCCTCCGAATTAGTTCTGATGGCAAAGGGAGATTATCTGCTGTGTTACATTTTGCGAAACAACTTGTTTTACAGTCATAAAGCTGCACACTGTCGGTTACTGCTGGTCCCTGAGCAAGCCCATATTTCAGTTGTGCTTTGCTCAGGGGCTCCTCATCAGCAGTCGTTCATTAATGTGTGTGTAGTAGTGTGTGCTGGTGTGGCATGATGGCTGCGAGCTAATTTCTCTCGCTGTAATTACCACAGCCACGTCTGTAACTGACTTTTCAGGGCTTCAAATTAGATTTTTACATTTTATTATCAATATAGAAATACAATTATTCTGTAGGATGTATTAAAGGAACATATGCTGCTGTTAATCTTATGATTTCTTATCATTTGATAGAAAAAATTACATCCTAAAAGATACAGAGGATGCGGTTAGGTTACTTCACATATAATAATGTCCAAATGTAATTAAAGATTAATATAAGAAACCCACTCAATTCATTAGAGAATTGTGAGTTTGGAAATGGGGATTTTCTTGAAGTAATTACTGGAATCTGCAGAAAAAAAACAATGCAAATTCTGCACCTAATAGGCTGATGTGAAAACTGTGGAAACAGTAAAGTAAATACAGCTATCCTCTATAGATAATATAGAAAGTGGTAATTCACCAAACAGCCTGGAATACTTTTATTCAAAATGCAAAAGTCAATTGCATTCTATAACCTGTCATCATAATTAACAGCATATTCTCTTTGAGTTTATTTGACTGGCTTTTGTGTGTGACTTATGCATTAAATAGTTCATGTATTACTGTTGTCTGTCAACAACCTCCTGTTTCGAGCAATGCCACACAGGCGATGTTTATTATTTCGGTGCCTCCTGTGTTGGCACTCTCTGAGCGTCAGCAGCTTACCTTGTCAGTGAATTGCAGACTGACCCACAAAGACAGGTGCTGCTGGATGGAAACAGGCTGGTACGCTCTCCTGTCCTGATGAGGAGGCAGCACGGTGAGAGGCTGGGCTGAACAACAAGGAGGGGGAAAATGCAGTCAGACTTTATGTAAATGAATTGATTTGCATTTCCTTTATCCTTTATTTACCCGTGGGATGAAAACAAGTCCAAATTAAGGGGGTTTTGAAATTGATGCATACATTGCCCACATTCAGTCAGATGAATAATTCTGTTTTCTCTCTTTAAACTGGCCATGGTAAAATCCTTTGTATATGCATAAGATAAGCACCTGAGAGAAAGAAAGAACGACACAGATGAAGGTCGTTTTGTATATTTAAATAATTGTAAGTCATATTAAGTCAAGATGGAAACTATAACAAACCTTCTGGTATACCTGGTACTAAGACATTGGATATTATATTAACTTTGTAAAGTATAACCAGCAAAACAATTTGCTAGAAAAACACAAGCAGCTATAAGACCTTTTTCTGGGCTATTGAAGCCCTGCAGACATTCCCATTCTGCATCCATATTTTTACTACCACACATAAAAGTGACCACACCCTTGAAAGCTGCTTCTAAAAACTCCTTGGGTGAGCCATTAGCTCTCCACAGTAGCATTTAGTTTGTGCTTTGTGTTGCAAAACAGTATCCATACAGTACAACAATTAACAGTGGTCGCCCGTCACTCTCACTGCTTTTAAAGGTGTTAAAGCATTCAGACACCAGCAGTCCCCCCGGAATTGGTTCAACAGCATTTCCTTATCGTCAAGTGGTAACAGCTGGATCACTTCAGGAAAGCTTTGAGGAAAACAGCCAACACCTTTCTCCTAAATGGATCTCTACAACACATTCAATCCAGTGCCTTGGTGGTTTATATAATGGGTCAAATCTAAGAGGTGTAGAGTGTGTGGGAATATTTCTATTAAACCAGGTTACATATTTGGACCCAAGAAAATGCCTGTACCACTTAGATACGTGTTGGAAATGTCCAGCCTCTTTCACAAGTGTTAGTGATGTCTCTTTGTTACGGAGTAAAATAAGGAGACAAATCGAGGTGATTCAGGCGGGGGAGGGGGGGGGGGGGGGGGGGGGGGGGGGGGGGGTGTATTGGAGAGAAACTCCCTCTGGAGGGAATTTGGGGATTTTAGATTACATTACATCCAAAGCGACTTACATACTCAATACTGTGGGCAATCCACACAGGAGCAATTTGGGGTGAAGTGTCTTGCCCAGGGACACAACGACATGCTGACTGCAGTGGGGTTTGAACCTGTGACCCCCTGATCCAAACACCAACGCACAACTGCACCACACGCCTCCCAGCTCAAACACCTATATTATACCCGAAAGGAAAGGGGAAACCCCCAAAAGCACAATATGGCCTCTTTGAGTCTGTAACATATGATTTGTAAACCAGGATATACTGTATATGCAGCTCTGCAATTCTTCACTCAAAATAGTATTTTCACACATACTTAGCCTTTAGCGAGTATTGGGTTTGTTGAATATTTAATCGTACAGCCCTACCTGGCACCATCAATACTGAACGTGCATACTGCAGATGTAGTGCAGATGTATTTGTACCCTTTTTTAGATGATTTTTGTAGCTTTTGACAGCTTTGTAATAATAAAATAAACCCCAAAGCATATATGTCACCTGTCTATCATGAGAGCAATATTGTTGTTCAAGGTTGTGTTTGACGTTTGATAGATCAGTCTGAAACCATGTGAAAACAAAACCACAGGGACGGACACAATGTACACGGTTTTACAAACAAATAAGCACAAGATATCAAAATATTCTAATTAATCATTAATTGGGTCATGCGCTTGTAGTTGCTGTGATGAACAAAAAGCCTTCTCTGACTCTTGTATTCAGGCTGCTACTCATTGTTTTGCAGAGAACAAAGCATAAGGATGCATCACGCGCAGGCAGCATTTCACACCATTTTCAATCACAACAACTTATTGCAAATTATTGCTTTGTTGTGCCGGATTCAATCACACATTGCCAAAAGCTACATTTTCAGACCTGCCACAAAACACTTGAGACTTCTGCCTCCAACCATAAACCCTTGTTTAACAGTAAGAGAAAACTTAATAAGCAATAAACACGATACAAGGCCTAGCATGTCATTTTCGCATTGGGCAGTAATTGAGGGTCTTGGACTTGGACAACAGTCTCACACACATGCACAAGCACACATAAAAACCCATATCTAATCCGTGCTTGTAATCATATGCAAAGTTATCCTACTTTAGCCAACAGAGAGCAGGTTCTACAAGGAGAATTAACTTAAGTGGGGAGATGAAAGGGAAGGGAGAGAAGAGAGACAGGAGATGTGGGGCCCGACTCAACAACAACACACGACACTCACCGTGGTACTGGCTGAATACATTCCTCAGAAGATGGTACTTGGTGGTGTAATCCCCCGCCTCGGATAATGGAGCATCATAATCTGAAAGATAATGTGCTATCAGAACAGCAGGCTGGGAGCCGGAGAGAGGCAGGGATGCCTCTTACCGTGGCAGATGCTTTCACCGTGCTCCCCTATCAAACATCTTGAGACAGCAGCGGGCCGAGACACATTCTGAGTTATCTTGACAGAAAATGCAGTTTGAGTCAAAAAGGTAAAAGGCATTCAGAGGAGTAAACACAGATTTGACTGGAGGTTGAAGGTGGTCTTCCCTACCGGGGAGACACTCTCAGAAGTCTCCTTTTTTCTAAAGAACGAGGTCATTACAATGTTAAGGACCCTAGAGGAGCATATAAAACCCATTGTACCGTCTTTAATTTACATTTCCCATGCATTTTATTAGGTAATGAATTCATTAATGCGCACTGCATATTCACATTTCAAGTCAGTCGAAGGTCAGAGGCTCAGGAGTACGGATAGCGCCATCTACAGATTCCAAATACCAAAACCATGTTTTAGTTTTCTTTTCAAATTTCCTTAAGGCAGATTTAATCAGACTGATTTAATCTAATTGTTTGATGATTATGGGCACTCCTGAGTCAATACTTTTTTTAACAAGCTTTATAGATTGGGTCAGCCAACCTTGGCAGAGAATCAGTGGGCTTTTAAAAATGAGGATAAAATAAATCATGTTTTTGATGTGCCTTTCTTAGGACTGGCTGGATACTAGATTTAAACTACACAATTATCAAGGCCAAAAATGAAAAGAATAAGGCTATTATTTAAATGTATCTTTTCCTTTTTGCATTGTGTCTTTTTCTTCAATCTGAAGCCCAGTTATGGATATTGAATTGCCTTTTTTGTGTTCAATCCTGACCAACCAGTCCTGTATATAATATTTTCTTCTCTTAACTCAAAACCGAATTTCACTTTTTGAAATGTAAGTCTTCACACATACCATAATTTGTCACCATAGCTTTAGGTGCCGGCATTCCAACGGCAAACGCTCCGCTCATGAAGCCAAAATTTGTCCCACCGTGGAACATGTAGAGGTTGATGGACATGTTCAGTTTAAGGATCTCTGTGACCACAGATAACATGTCTGTAAACACAAAGAAAAATGGATGATAAAACCAGTTAGTAATTCAGAAAATATTATAAACTAAGGTTAGCATTAAGCCCAATGGGTAACCCAACATAAATCAATTTTCAGCTTTAACAAGGCACCGTTTCACTAATCCTATTGCCCCTCAATTCCACTTCAATTGAAATATGGATAGACCTCATGCACATATCCTACTACAGGTACTTTTAATTCATTAGGGGGCAATGCCTCACACCCATGAAGAATTGCCTAGCTCTCCGCACAAATTACCTATATTTTGCAGAGAACATAGCAGAGCGAGTAATTAGGTATTCAAATTGGACGTGAGCAGTCAAATTGGACTGACTTTAATGATTTGAATCAAGGGCATGAGCCTTAGTGAATAACAATTGAGCGGGCTGAGTGACAAAAGCCGGACCCGGTCGTTTTTTACTGTGGTGGCACTAGCTGTGACCAACAGTGTGTGTTGCAGTCTGCAGAGCACTGAGATGTCAAGGACATGAATCCCCTCTGAATATCCCAGCGTTCATTTCATAGCTGTGACTCTTTCTGCATGGCCAGGGTTCTTTTTAACCCTGTTCCCTTTCTCGAGAGAAGGAAAATGCATAAGGAAGCTTTTCATTTTCAGAGCATCTTTTGTTAAGATGTGGATGGCTGCTGGGAATGACACAGTAAAAGGAAGCCTGAGGCTCTGTGCGTTTGAACTTAGAGGTTTACTAGGAGCACTCAAGGTGGCTATAGCAGGGTATGTTGATCCATTAATCTTTACAATTGTGTTTTTATGTGTGTGATGACTGTATATTGTACTAAAAATAATATCACCCTTCTGGCCACAGCTTCTGGACCATGATATCTGGTATGTGTGGGATGCTTTAGAGCGCAAACTGTACGAGTTAGCCGCTGGTCGTTGATGTTATTATTGCACCAACAATTTGTATACGTTTAGGGCACATTCAGACTATATTATAGGTTTATTCTGAAATATGGTTTATTTCTTTGTTTATTCTACTGCAGTGACACATCCTAACAACAAAATATTTCTTGTTTCACTCCAACACAAAACTATTTTCACTGCAATACTAATTATATATTTAATTTGTTTTAAGAAAATATGGTTTGTATGACCTCGGAAAGTATTTTTAAGATTGGAAAACAAGTACACATTGATGCATCAGTTACAGTCCAATAATATAATACAGGCCTTTGGTTCCTTTACTTTTAATACATAGTGAATTTTGCTGAACATACTTCAGTAATTTTACAAGCATTGGTCTTTATCCTTATTCCACCATTGCAAGAGTATGACATGATACACAGCCCTGCCTATGGTTTCATTTTTCATGTTTTTCCACAGTTGGTGCAATAAGGCACCAATAAATGCAGAAGCAGACTGAGAAGTAATTATGAATATAAACACGTAGGTTTTAAAAACCTTTTTTTAATGAGGAAAGAACACCATATTAAGGCCACAAGGATACACACAATCTATTTTGGTTAGTAACCGTGCACGTAGGCTAAATGTAACTTTGTCCTAAGTCTCACATATATTTTGTCCTATCTTATGACCAGGTGCGGTTATTTAAATTGTGCAGCACATACCGTATATAGCCTGTGACTCAGAAAAACAGTGCAGCATATAATTCATAGGAAAGTACACAACATTATGCTCCTGTCAACTAAAACTTAATTTAATGCAGCCACGAGCAAAACAATTCTAGTGTGTATCTGCATGTGCTACAGCGTGTGTGTATGGAGAAGATGAATGTGACTCCTACAAAGTGTAACACCTCCACCTGGCCTCGGTACAGTCAGTGAGAGTCGGCGGAGCACATCTTTGAACAATCCTGCACAAAGAAGCGTTTGAAAAAAAATGGCCTCTGAACATCAAACATATGGCCAAGAGACAAAGTGGAGAGGGTTGGACACAGACTCTGGTTTGTGATACTTGGCTCAAAACGTACCATGCATGAAAAGTATACACGGTAAATCTCTGACAAAACCAAACAGGAATGACCATATGCTAGGAGGTACATCCCAGCTGTTGTTCCCATTGCATTTATATACCAGTGTTCATCAAATGAAGAGAAATATCTAGCTCTCGGAAGAACTGTTTGTATAATACAATAACTAAATTAATTAGAGCTCTATGTGTCTAACTGGCTATAATGGGTGCATACCACCACCATATGGCTATGACCATATGGCTATTCTTCTTGAGATGATGCATCAGGTACACTTGATTAGGTTTTTTTCATAACCCTAGGCATGTTTCTCATCATAATCTATTTTTTATTAAAGGCAATATGCAACCCAGCTGTATTTGTTGGTATGATCAATTGCATTCTGACTGAAAAACCCTCCAGAGTTTGAGTTAGGGCTGGGCAATATATTGGTATTATATCGACATCGTGATACGAGATTTGTCACAATATTGAAATCAAACATATTTGGTCAAAACAAGTTATATTTGATTTTTCTCCATATCATTTAGCCTTATTTTGAGTAGAGGCAAGTAGAGAACCACCTCATTCAGGGATCTACTGTAAGTGCAATTGCTGTGTTGATATATTCCAGATCAACAGGTCCAAATGAGCTAAGTGAGAACAAACACCCACACTCAGTCTGGAGGATTTACTAACCCTCCCTTTACAGCAGTGAGCTTGTCCACACCGTCTTTTCCCTGGCACAGGGACTGTTCAATTCCCAGAGAAAAAAGTTTGTCTTAAGCCTTTCTTACCCTAAAGGTCCTGAGACTCTGTCTTCCCCTCAAGACAGTCTGTTCTACCTTCACAGCTCCTGTATCGGCTCGCAACAAAAAACCTTTCTTTCTCTGTCTCAAATTAGCCGATTGCATCGACCTTCTGTTCAGAAAGAAACGGTTTCACCCTCAGAGAATCCATCAGCAGAAATCCTGTCTGGCTCTCACATGAACACCTTTCTTTGTCTTGTCAGGGATCCTAAAGCTCTCTCTGAATGAAAACCTGGCTACCCATTCTGAGTCTGTCTTACCCTCAGCTGGGTAGACATGATGAAGGTCCCCCCAAAGATCGAACCAGCCAGACCAGTACTCCATCACCATCTTCGGCTTGTGAGGCTGATGGGAGAAAGAGTTGTCCATTAAATAAAAGATACGTCTGAATGACCTTTCAGTTAGTACCTTATTCCATTTGTGTGAAACCCTGAATTAATTGTCTCTAAGATTAATGATCTTCTTTAAGGTCTATAACTTTTTCTTTTAAGGTGGGTAAGTAACCTCAAAGGTTCCCTGGGATTAACATGGACAGTCTATTTTTGGAAAAGCAAAGATTAGTTTTTAGCTTGATGTTCACTTCGATAAAAAGAGAAGTAATGACAGACTCCAAGACCACGGATAACAACAAAATGAAGAATGAAACCAAAACGCAAAAAAGACTCACTTGTATCTCATCCAGATACTTGATGTCCTTTGGGTTAAACTTCTGGAAATTGATGGTTTCTAGTGCTTCAAAGCCAAAAAGGTAGAACATTGTTAACACAAATTTGCATAGAATCAGTTCAAACTAATACAGACCATGCTTTAGAAAGAGATCTATGAAATGAATATTGTTTTGAGTTGTACTTAAACCCTCACATGATTATGTTCTTGTCTTTAAAAAAAAAGTATTAGCAGTTCCCCATAGCATCTTAAACTTCAACATAAAGCACAATGCTCCTCAAATCACAAAGTTAATAAGCATTAAAACTGTCTAACGTAAGCGGCTGCATTAGGAAACAGGCAACGAGGCATCACATTTAAGTGTTCATCTACAGCATGGAAATCATGATTAGGAAATATATATTTTTAAAAAACATCAGGGGGGTTTATTATAACAATACTCTGGAGGATTATATCCTGTAATTATAAGGATGAGAATAATGCATGATTTGCTCTCATAATAAAACAAAAATACTATTATCTCAGTGAAAAACAAGCTTATTATGACCATTTTTGCCAACAATAAAATAGCATGTGTCAAAGAAGATACTTTTATATTTCAATATCTCTGTTTTTGTTTTGTGTTAGGGTTAGCTTTGTGGTATTACACAGGATCCTTTGTGAGTAGTTCTGAGCTGCAGTTGCCTGACACAAGCCACCCTTCGCCTCAGACCTCTTGTCGTTGTGTGAAAACAAACTCACCAACCAACCTACTGTATATGTGTGTCTGTTTGGGTGTGTGTAGATGCAGCCTTGTTTGTCTGTCAGCCCATCTAACAATACCTCCTTTCACTCCTCCAAGCTTTAGTCCTTCCTTGTTGTCTGAGGTCAGCAGCAGCTCTGAGATGCCTCTTGACAACAACGACTGGGAAAAAAGAGAAGTATTGGAGGCAACAAGAAAAAACGAAAGGTTCTTTCTGAAATATCATTGATTTCTCTTTTCAAATTGAGTGAAAATAAGAGTGAGTTAAGGACAGCAGCGGATACAAAGTGTACTCTCTTCTATGAGCTACCACAAATTATTCAAATAATATACAGTTTAGTTTCTTACCTCCTTGATGAAAGGCATGTATTCGTCATCTTTGGCATAGGAGCCATACTCATTCTCCACTTGAACTGCGATAATTGGGCCACCCTTGGAGTACTGCGGAATAATTAGCCAATGAATGGGACACATATTAGAGCCTGGCACCAGTTCTCACCATTTCTACACTCAGTACAGCTGAATTTGATGAAAAACACTGAGAAGGAAATCAGAGCTAGTCCAATGATGCATGGAAGAAAAGAAAATATGCCCTGGATGCCATGAGTTTATTTAGGTTCATATGGTAAATATATTGCTTGTATACATGGTAACGTGCATAGTATGCAGGAATAACATATGGAAGCAAGTATTCCATCATGAAAAAATGGGCAGGCATTTGTATGCATGCTTGAATATATCAAAACAAAACATATTTTATATATTACATATTTGTTTGTGTCATATTTCCATTAAAAGGTCCTATACTACTTATTTTCAGGTTCATATTCGTATTTTGTGCCTCTACTGTGACATGCTTTAATGTTCAAAAAGCCTTTCTTTTTCTCAAACTGCCTGTGCTGCAGCACCTCTTTTCACCCTCTGTCTGAAACCAGAGCCCAGTCTGCTCTGATTGGTTAGCTGGTCGGCTCTGTTGTGATTGGTCAACCTTAGAGATGTATATGGCATATCATGTGTTTTGTGTAGCCTTTGCAGACCATGAACATGCACACAAACCTATACAACACACTACAGGAAAGGGTAAACCCCAAAAAGGATAATTGGGCTCATTTGGTCTCATATGCATTTTCTTCTCAAACATTGTAGTGTATACATCAGTCAAATTATTTCGTTACATTTCTATTGTGCTAATATATAACATACCTGATGTGGAACAACTTTGTCAATGAGATGATTAAAGAAGGAGTTAACGGCATCAGTGAATCCTGGGTAGGTTGTTCTCAGTTTCATGTTTTTATCTCGTAGTAGCCAACTGAAAAGAAATCAAAAAAGATTATTTGAATAGTCCAAAAAGCAACATACAGTATCACCCAAGTTATTCAAAAAGCTTTGCTGTGAACTCTTCACTGCATGCCCTTAGAAACACTCTGTTTTGATGATCATCAAATAAATATCACCTAAACCTCATAGTCCCCCAAGGCAAAACTGCTCCAAAAAGACCTTCTTCCAGGCTTTTTAACTCCAACATTCACCCCGTTATCTGTTCAAATCTATGATGATTACAGAAATAAATGAATTAATCATCGTTTTTTTAAGGAGCTTTGCCTGTCAGATTAAATGTATGTTCTCCTTAAAATCTAAGTATGGAAAATCATTTGTGACAATCATCTGAGTAACATTAGAGGTTACTTGGATGATTCATAATGTCCTCACTTACACTATATGTAAAACCCTGTTGTCTTTGTATCATAAACCGTATGTAGAGCACTGAGGTGGGTCAATCCTACTAAGGCATGTCCATGTTTTGCAATATGTAGCTGAAGAAACTGGCAAAAAACATGACAGAGATGGCAGACTTGAAATCAATCACATTACTTAATTATTTCCAAGAGTTTAATGGATTTAGCCCGAAGCAAAGATACCGCTAACAAACAGCTTAACTGACTGAACAAATTATTTCCAAGCCAATTTAAGGAATTTATTTAACAACCCATTTGCTGTTCTAAAATAATGCTTTACAATGTGGATATGGCTGTAAGGCATATTCAAAAGATCTGCACAGGTTACATTTAATTGGGATTTTTACCTGGGTAGGCCACCTAAATCCCACTCTGCACAGATGTACGGCCCTGGACGCAGAATCACCCAGAGGCCCAAGCTGGCTGCAAGACGGAGGTAAGCTCTAAGGGAAAGAAAAACAATATTTGTATATATTTATCATCAATACAATTCATTCAAATATTTACAACAGCATGAACAAAGTATGGCTTAGTTATGCTCATTAAAGCAGATGTTTAATTGTAATTAATTCTGAAATATTTCACTCAATTAATTTTCTACATTTTTACAGTATATAATATGTTTCTGTATTTAAGGAAACACCTGCTTCTTGACAGCAGGCAGCCAATTTGATGGATCATCCCCATCTTGACAATATATCAAGAAGCCCTGATAGTGATTATGGCTAATTAATCACACACATTTTTTTTATGGGGAAACGTACATCATTTTAACAGTATTACATTATTTACTGTAAGAAAAAAAAAATCCTGTAATGCAACAGTGCCCTCTGCAGGAGTTTAGCAGAGTCTCAGAAGTCTTCCCTTCATTTTTTCTTACTCCAAATCCAACTGATCCTCAAAGTTGAACACCCCTCGCTCAGGCTCGTGCATATTCCATGGCACATACCTAAAAACACAAATGTATTTTCTTTATTATTGTGTTTTAAGTATTTCAATGAGTGCCTTTGGTTTGTGTCCAAAGGCTACTGTACCATGTCCTTCTGTTTTCTTAAGAATGGTGTTTGCTCTGCTTTACCTAAAAGTAATATACATGTTATGTATTGCAGGACAAAGTGCAAATTTTTTATTTATATTCTTATGTTTGTATAAACGTTTTTCTTTTTTTCTTTAATGTTTTATTGGAGATTTTATTTTAACTCCTTATGTTTATGAATATATTTATTTTATACACATTCTTACTACAACCTTTTACGTCTACATCAATATTATTTTTCAGTTTTTGTATGTATCTTTTGTTTATTTCATTCTGAAATACCATCTATACATCTATCTGACATAGTATGTTGTGTAAAGCAGAGTTGGTTCCTCCAGCAGTGAGTGGGAGCCTACGTTGTCAGAGTATTGAGGCCACAGGCCTTCATCTTCAGCAGCCGGTCCTCCCAGTAGGCTCTGGGGACACGGAAGTAATGGATGGAGCCCCCCAGGATGTGGAAGGGTTTTCCCTCCAGAGTGAACTGAGACGAGTTGGCCCTCAGACCCTCCGCACGCTTCATTCTTACTACCTCAGGTCGATTCCTAGGGGGCAAAATACAGTTTACAACTGACAGACAACTTGTTGAACTGGCCATGAAGACATTTGAGACATATTAATACACTAGCCTGTATACTGTAAAGCTAATAGCTTTTTCATATTACAAAGAGGTTCCATTTATCTACATGATTCTTCATAATAATAAAAAACTATCACATGATCATATTAGATTAAATTAGATGATATTGGATAAAATTATATCATATTAGATTAAATTAGATTTGTATTGTGCAGAGTACAGGTACAAGCCAATAAAATGCAGTTAACCAGAAGTGCATATACATTTATATAGTATTAGTATATATACTAATACTATATAAATTAGAAAGTGTAAAAGTACTACAGCAAGTGATGCTATACATAACAGTATAGAGGTTATAAATAATAAACATGTATATAAAAAGTAAAAGCTGAAGTCTTATTAAGATCAGTAAAAAAAGAACAGATATTGCATTGAGATTTATATTTAATTTTGATCCGAATTTCTCAAAAAAGGGCTAATTTAAGTAACACTGACAGGCAACCTGTTGCGTGAGGTTCAATGTCCACAGGTGAGAGATCAAAAGGTAACCTGGCTGGTTTCTTAAGAACATAACTGAGTCCAAATGTCTGAATAGCAGTCATTCAACAAAGCATAACACCTCAAGCAGTAGGGCTGGTGGGTGGAGAGGCTTAAACCATGAAATGCACATGTCATGTTCCTTTAGGTAGACTGTGTCTTCATGCATGGTTCTCTTATTATGAAAAGTTGGCGACTGGATAGATTTCACTGCATGCGTAAAGAGCTAGGGTTTTCCTTACCTTGTAAACCGATAAGCAAGGATCGCTCCGACAGCAACACACAGCAGGAGACAATATCTTTGCTTTAGGGACAGACGAAGCCCAACCATTGATAAGATTTCCATCGACAACAATAACAACTCGACTTCAGTAAAAGTTGCGCCCTGTTCGTTGCTTGTGTTCATGCAAATTAAAGTGAATATCTTTTACTTTCCAAAACGGTCGACGATGAGTTATACAATGCATCACAAAACCTGTCAAACCTGACGTGATAACGTTTATAAAGTCACCCCATATTCACATAACGCTGGGTCGTAACGTTAGATTACTTCCGGGATTCAAAGTTAAAAAAACGAAACGTGGTCAATTAAAATGTTCACTTGGTTTACTTTTATGGACTCTAATGTAAGCTAGTTGCAGTCTATGAGTGTGACCATTCAATATTGTATATCAGATGAATGTCGTCCAAAAATACACACAAGCGGGAAACTGTATTTTACTTTAGGGACCGTCGCACATTTATGCAACCGAAAAAGAACGCAGAACACTTTATCCAGATTCAACAGCATAGCAGAAGACAGAAGATGTCCCTCCCCTGGGTGTTGGACCTCGAGCACCTTCATGAAAAACAAATGCATAGACCTCTGGTCCACCAATGTGTTTTTACAATGAACAACCAACTATAGGTCTTGCTGAGATGTGATTTGGATTTAATTTGTACCTTTAGGCACACATTGAGCACACAGGTATGGAGGACAGAACATGAAATAAGTAACAAATACATAAATGCATAAATACAGGAACAAAAACTGAAATAAATACAGGAATTAAAAATACAAGAATAAATAAATGTGGAAAAAAAACTGAAATAAATAATTTGGAAATAAATACAGGAATAAATACAAGAAAAAATAAATAAATATGAAAAGTTGACAATAAAACAGAACACACATATTGCACCGTGCTGCTGCACAGCGGGAGCAATGTCCAAATTGCACATCTTGACACTAAACCAGTGTTCTTGTTTATTACATTTCTTTGTGCACGCTATTTTTGAGAACATTTATAAGTTATACTTTAAGTGGTGGGGACAAAATTGTGCATTTCAAAAAGTGATGGGGACATGTCACCAGTGTCCAGCGCAAATTATGCCTATGATTTAAGACTATGTAGGTTTTTTACATGTCCAACTTGAAAAGGAATATTGTAATTAGATACTTTTAATATTCTCTTTCAGTTCTTTTTTTATTAACTGTCTACTTGATTGGGGGACAATAAAGTATACAATCTGCCCCACAGTCTCATTCTGTTCCCAAATGCTTTCTTATAAGGGGTAAGTTAAATATAGTCTTGTTCCTGTTTTCATCGTTTTAATCAGTTCATTCCTACTCTTTACACTTCCCTTAAAAATCCTCCCATCCATATTTGATGTCTTCTTTCGACTAGCCATCCCATACTCCCTGGTGTACAATGTTTAATATTGTGTCTAAGACATAACAATGTCAGCAAAAGTGACAAATAATTCATTTTGAGAGCAGTGAAACAACTGAAACAAAAAGCAGGGATCAAGGCTCTATTCAGTTGTACACAGCAATTCAAAAAAAGTATATCTGTTTAATTCCCTAAGTAGGGCAGATTAAAAAGATAACAAGACACAGACACAATGCACACACTTGTGCTATTACACACTAACTTGTGATTACAGTTGCACACAGTACATTTGTTCTTCGACTGTGATTACATATACAACCACTGGTGCATCAGTACATTTTTTATGTAAACTATATCATGAGGCCAACATTTTTGTGAACAATGCAAGCTCTTCCTTTTTTTACTGAAAGAGGGAGCGAGAGAGACAAAGCACTATTATATTTTTTGTTCGGAAACAACAATAGTTTCCCTTATCCGCAGTGTTTCAGGCCTCCCAGCACCATCCTCCCTTCAAATGCTCTCGGCAAGCTCAGCTCCAAGGCACAGCAATGTTTTGATGTAATTGGGATTTTCTGTTATTCTGCATCTGGGACTTACATGTGTTGGTAAGTTTTGAATTGTTTCTGCTCGTATTTCTTTTGTGTTGCGTGTTCATAAAATAAATGTACTTCCTGTGAAGTAGCCTATACTGTTTTATTACAGTAACACATTGTATTTTATTATCCAACACATATGACCTCAGTAGATGGGCCTTTTCTATTTTATTTGATCCAATTAATTTTCACCCAATAGAAAACACCCTGAGGTGCGAATAATGAGCCGTGTGGAGGGTCTGAGGGCTGATTCCTCTCAGTTCACTCTTGAGGGAGAGCCCTTCTGCATCCTGGGGGGCTCCATCCATTACTTCCGTGTCCCCAGAGCCCATTGGGAGGACCGGCTGCTGAGGATGAAAGCCTGTGGCCTCAATACTCTGACAACGTAGGCTCCTTTTGTAACTCGACTATGCCTCATAATAATCTGTCACATTTAATGGAGAATGTCAAATACAGATCAGGTTGAAGTAAATGTGTTTGTATGAAAAGGCCTTCCCTTAAAATGAAATAGAAATATATTTCATGAGCCAGCATAAGCTACAAAAGAGTGTTTCCTTGCTTTCTTTTCAGATACGTGCCATGGAATCTGCACGAGCCTGAGAAAGGAACATTCAATTTTCAGGATCAGTTGGACCTCAAGTAAGGCTTTTATGTTAATTATCTCCCTCTTTGTAGAATATGCACGTTGAATTGTTATTTTTAAATTAACAGAAGGTGTCCATGTCTTTTTTTAGAGCTTTTATCAATCTAGCTGCAGAGACGGGTCTGTGGGTGATCCTGCGTCCTGGACCTTACATCTGCGCTGAATGGGATTTGGGCGGGTTGCCTAGGTAGCACCATCTGCCCATTGCTTTTAAGTATTGCCCTATACTAGAAGTGTGCCAATAAGTTGTTTTTGTTTGTTTCTTATAGCTGGTTGTTACAAGATAAAGACATGCAGTTGAGGACAACTTATCCTGGTTTTGTAAATGCTGTTAACCTCTACTTTGACACGCTTGTTGCAGTAATCAAGCCTCTCATGGTAAGTCAAACTCAAGGTTTTGTCAAAATATTTCTCAAAATAACTTGTAGCTTTCAGTGAGACAAGCATTTATTGTTTTTGCCCAGTTTGAAGAGGGAGGCCCAATCATTGCAGTTCAAGTTGAGAACGAGTATGGATCATATGCCAAAGATGAGAGTTACATGCCATTTGTACGAAATGTGAGTTGTATTGCAATGTTCATTTTTGACTGAAAGCTTTTACATTACATTATACTGAAGGAATTACATATCTTTTTCGACAGTGTCTCCAGTCCAGAGGAATCAAGGAGCTCCTGTTGACATCAGACAACTGGGAGGGCCTGAGTTATAAAGGGGTGGAGGGAGGTAATGAAAATAACTGACCCTCAAAAGGGGGAGAAATGCATAAAATGTATTATTTTTTGATTTATTTTTGATTTAATCATTATATTTATATAATTGAAACATCATTGTAAAAACAATACTGCTAATAATGTACTTTGTTATTGTTCGACTTTGTCCTTCATTTTATCTAAATCTTGTTCCTTTCAGTTCTAAAGACAATAAACCTTCAGAGATTATCATTCGGAGCTATTCAGCACTTAGCTGAAATGCAGGTAAGTGATTGTAATGGGTAGATTTTCAATGGAGCTTTTGTACTCACTATTGAGCAGTTGCAACACAAAAAGATGATGAGGATTTTGTGTAAGAGGAAATAGTCCTCATACATCACAGTATTCTGTAAGACATGTTTAATGCAAACATGTGTTCTGTTTCGCGTAGCCCCAGAAACCTCTAATGGTGATGGAGTATTGGTCCGGCTGGTTTGACGTTTGGGGAGAACATCACCATGTGTTCCATGCTGAAGGTATGGAAACACTTTTCAACTATCATTGAACATTTATGCTCAGCACATGCTCAATTTCAGCCTAACTGTGCAGCCCATTTGTTCTATTACACATGTTTACACAAGCTTCACCATATCTATTATCAGACATTCAGGTTACTGTACCACTGTTGAGCTGTTAATGTATAATAGAAGGACACTGTAACAAATGGAGAAGAGACATTTTGGCTCACTTTTAGTGTAATGTATTTTGTACTATATATTTGGTTTACAGATATGCTTGCTGTTGTGTCAGAGCTACTTGAGAGAGGTGTCTCCATTAATCTGTACATGTTTCATGGGGGAACCAGCTTTGGCTTCATGAATGGAGCGATGGACTATGGCACCTACAAACCTCAGATCTCCAGTTATGGTTGTTTGGAATTACCTAAGAGTTCAGACCAAAGATTTAAAAAAAATGTATGATTCCCTTTAAGTAATGCATTGCTTCTTACCATTTTTGTAAACCTTTTTATTGCAGATTACGACGCTCCGCTATCTGAGGCTGGAGATTGCACGCCAAAATATCAACTCTTGAGGACTTTATTTAGCCAGTATCACTGTAATGTCTCGCATCATTGATTGAGCTACATATTTTATGAGAAACTCAGCAATAATTTGATGACTTCATTACACAGAGTAATTGAGTTTGCCTCAATCAGCGTAATGAAAAGCTTTTGCCAACTTGTGTTCCAGCTAAGCCTCTTCCTGAAGTGCCGTCTCCTTGTGAGAGGAGAGTCTATGACCCTGTTACCATCCAGCAGCACCTGTCACTGTGGGACAGCCTGCACTTCACCGACAAGGTACGCTACATAAGGCCAGCAGCTGTAGGGTGTTTTTATAAAGGCCTGATGGAAAATGTTTCATCCCAACCGTCTGGTATATAAAGGAGCATTGATGGGATGGGAGTCAAATGCAAGATGTGGTGAGCTTCAGAAAGACAGAACATCTCTGTTATCAGCCTGTGTGCCTACTTCGCTGTCTTCACTTGTATAGAGGTGTCACAATATGCTGCTCACACTCAATACAGATGTCTCACACCTGGCAGCTCAGGTTTGGTCATGCATCAAGTTGTACACACCTGCTTCTTTATTTTCTTTGTACATATTCCTCTAGTGATACTTAAACAGCCTAAAACCAACAGTGGTGGTATCTTGCACTGCCTGTAAAACTACAGACACAGATTTCATGTCATTGTCCTCAGAGATCTGATGTGTATTGTGTTCTGCCAGATGATGTATCTAATACTTTAGGATGTCTGACAATATTGCAGCCTTTCAGGTCGGAGAAGCCGGTAAACATGGAGAATCTCCCTGTCAACAATAACAATGGTCAGTCATATGGGTACACACTGTATGAAACCATCATCACCTGTGGAGGAACCCTCAACTCAAAGAACAACATCAGAGATAGAGCCCTGGTAAGAATAGACAGATACAAACAATACATGCAAAACATATACTTAAATGTATACAACATCACTATACACAATCCTGTATTTGTCTTTTCATTTTTTCTAGGTTTTTGTGGACAGACAATGTGTTGGTACTTTGGACTACAAGAC